TGGGTCCAATAAAGTAGTATAGGCCTAAAAAGTTACATAAATGGATATTAGTTACAAGTATATTCTTTGTGATTTAAATAGCCAAATTTTATACCTTATGATTTGGCAGATATCTTCTCCCGCGCCCAGACGATCACGTCTCACTTGGTGCGTGCGAGTGAAAGGGGGTGGGCGTGACAGCGGCAACAAAAAGTGTATTTAGCAATGAGTCGTGTTATCATTGGGATTTGAACCAGTACCTTTTGCATCCAATAAAAACAAAGATGTTAAATTAACTGGACAATATTCTGGCAATTTAGTGATATTTCCACAGTTGTGGTCTTGACTGGTCTTGAAATAAAATCCCGAGTCCTCGACGTCTGAGACCGAGACAAGACCATCAAAAAGTGGTCTTGAGACCGGTTTCCAGACCAAGACTGGTCTTGAGTACTACAACCATTTGCCTCACGCAGCGAAACAACTCCTTTGCATAGAGTTGATCAGGTTGTTGACTGTGGCTGTGGAACGTTGGCCCGCTCCTCTTCAGTGGCTGCAAAGTTACTGGATAGTCCGGAACTGGAACACGCCGTTGTATACCCCGATCCACAGCATCCCAAACATGCCCAGTGGGTGACATGTCCGGTGAGTATGCTGGCCACGCAAGAACTGGGATGTGTCCAGCTTCCAGGAAGTAAACAGGTCCTTGCAACATGGGGCCGTTCATTATGACGCTGCAACATGAGGTGATGGTCGAGGATGAATGTCTCAACAATGAACCTCAGGATTGCGTCGCTGTATCTCTGTGCGTTCAAAATGCCATCAATGAAATGTACCCGTTTGTTGTCCGTAACATATGCCGGCCCAAACCATAACGCCACCACCACCGTGGGCCACTCCATTCACCATGTATCAGCAAACAAATCACCCACATGTCCTACACGCAGTCTGCCGCCTGCCCTGTACAGAGAAAACCAGGAGTCATCCGTGAAGAGAACACCTCTCCAACGTCCCGTACGCCATCGAATGTGAGCATTCGCCCACTCAAGTCGATTACGACGAGCAGCAGTCAGGTGGAGACCGATGATGACGAGCAGCAGGCGAGCTTCCCTGAGACGGTTTCTGACAGTTTATGTAGAAAGAAAGAAACCGATCGTCGCAGCAGCCGTC